TTACAGTTCTTGGCATATTTTCTAAAGTTCTTGATGAATTTTAAAAATTTTATGAAATATACTTATGTTGTGCTGTAAAAGTAAGCTTTAAACTAAAATCTGTGTTTTCTGTCTTTTGGCAAACGAATAAAACACGAATTAAAATGATTTTTTAAAAAAATCTGGAAAATCGTGTTCAATACGATCGGATGCCAAAAACAAATATTTTTATTTTAGTTCTTGGCATATATTCCTAGGTGCTTGATTGAAATCAAAAATTTGATGAAATATTCTTATGTAGGGCTTTAAAAGTAAGCTTTAAACTTAAATCTGTGTTTTCTGTCGTTTGACAAAAGAATAAAACACGAATTAAAATCATTTGTAACAAAAATCTGTGAAATCGTGTTCAATACGATCGGATGCCAGCAACAAATATTTTTATTACAGTGCTTGGCATATTTTCTAAAGTTCTTGATTAATTTTAAAAATTTGATGAAATATTCTTTAAAAGTAAGCTTTAAACTAGAATCTGTGTTTTCTGTCGTTTGAAAAGAATAAAACACGAATTAAAATGATTTTTTAAAAATATCTGGGAAATCATGTTTAATACGATCGGATGCCAACAACAAATATTTTTATTACAGTTCTAAGCATACTTTCTAGAGTTATTGATTAATTTTGAAAATTTGATGAAATATTCTCATGTTGGGCTGTAAAAGTAAGCTTTGAACTAAAATCTGTATTTTCTATCTGTTGGCAAAAGAATACAACACGAATTAAATTCATTTTTTTTTTTAAATATTTATATTAACAACAAATACTTTTATTACAGTTCTTGGCATATTTTTTAAAGTTCTTGATTCATTTTAAAAATTTGATAAAATATTCTTATGTTGGGCTTTAAAAGTAAGCTTCAAACTTAAATCTGTTTTTTCCGTCGTTTGACAAAGGAATAAAACACGAACTAAAATCATTTTTTAAAAAAATCTGGGAAATCGTGCTCAATACGATCGCTTTAAAAGTAAGCTATATACTAAAATCTGTGATTTCTGTCGATTGATAAAGGAATAAAACACGAAATAAAGTGATTTGTAAAAAACTTCTGTCAAATCGTGTTCAATACGATCGGATGCCAGCAATCAATATTTTTATTACATTTCTTAGCATATTTTCTAAAGTTCTTGATTAATTTTAAAAATGTGATGATATATTCTCATGTTGGGCTGTAAAAGTAAGCTTTAAACTAAAATCTGTGTTTTCTGTCTGTTGGCAAAAGAATAAAACACGAATTAAAATGATTTTTTTTAAATAATCTGTGAAATCGTGTTCAATACGATAGGATGCCAGCAACAAATATGTTTATTACAGTTCTTGGCATATTTTCTAAAGTTCTTGATTAATTTTAAAAATGTGATGAAATATTCTAATGTTGGGATGTAAAAGTAAGCCTTAAACTAAAATCGGTGTTTTCTGACGTTTGGCAAAAGAATAAAACACGAATTTAAATCTGGGAAATTGTATTCAATACGATCGGATGCCAGCAACAGTTAAAATAGTTACAATAAGCTGTTAAGCATCTTTATAATCTGGCAACATTGTATCAGCATAGTACTCATTCTGTAATTGAGTACTAGTTCAGATTTTTGTACTCATGCTTTGAAGTTTCTATTAAACGTTTAACCGAACCACAACGTGTGTTTTTCTTTATGTGCATCTTAGGCACACCAGTAATATCCCAACATTGGTTATGGTTCCAGGTCTCGTTGTTTTCGGTTAAATAAGTACACAAAGTGTCTACGTTTTTGAAAGCTTCCTTTGGTTAAATTTTGAAAAGTTTATTTCGTGCGACGAATTACCTGGTGAAATTGTCAAAATGAACATGTGGCATCAAATAGAAAAACTTGGTGAGGACAATTATGACGTATGGCATATGGCCATGAAAAGTCTTGGTGTCTTGGTGGGGGCGGACCTATGGAATGTTGTGTGTGGAAAATATGTTAAGCCAGAAGGAAATGGTGAGGATATCGAAAAATGGGTTAGTGTCGACCAAAAAGCAATGGCTTACATAATTTTAAATCTGAAGCCAACACAGTTGATGCACATCAAGTCATGCCCAACATCTGCAGCCGTATGGAAAAAATAAAAGGATATTCATGTCTCAGTTGGATTAGGATTAGGAAGGTCCAATTATATCAAAAATTAATAAAAATCAATGACAAGTTGCAGGTCATCGTGCTTTTGAGCAGTTTACCATGACATATTCTTATGTAGGGCTTTAAAAAGTAAGCTTTAAACTTAAATCTGTGTGTCCTGAAATAATTCAACACACTCAAGTATATGTACATACAAATATGCAAAAATAAAAGAAGAACAATTGTTTGTTTATTTGCCTGGCTCGAGGTCCGGAGTTTTTAGTATTCAAGACAAAATGAAAATGCTATTTTGTTTGAAATTAACCAATATATTTCGGCTGCACTTCGGCAACCGTCTTCAGAGCACTAACCCAAAAACAAAAATAAAAAACAATTTACATTAAGATACATTAAATAAAATTAAAACAATTACTTAAACAATTTAAAAACATACAATGTTTTACACGTCTACGCTGTTTGACGTGGAAGTTGAAACTATTTGACAATTCAATAGATGTCTGTATAAGTGAGTGTAGTTTTCGGTATCCGTTTTGTAGTTTAGTCGTCTGCTGTTTGGTGTGTTTATTTTGTGTAACATTTCTAATGTATGTCTTTTGTTATAGGGTTGTTCTTGTTGTAAATTGTCGTCTCATCGAAATTTGGTGTGTGATTGCTTTTCATACAAATGGGTCTTAAGTGCTGTTTTTTGTATATTACAAACAAGTAAACCTGGGTTATTCAAAAATAAGAACTAAGTACAAAGACTCCAGAAAAACAATGAACAAATTTCAAATTACATTGGTAAAGTTAGTTAAACTTAAATGTAGCTTAAAGTTCCTTTTAAAATGCAGGAAATCATACCTAATACCTAATTTTATTAAGAACTTGACAAAACAATTGCCCATACTGACTACCGACAAAAAACTCCACCCTGACACAACTAAGGCGTTAACTAGACAAACACACTTTTTCCATAGCAAGATATAAAGCTTACTTATAAAACACAAACACACCTTATTACAAAAATAAACCAAACATATGGAAACAGCAAAAACAAACATAAAACAACTGATGACCACAGATGACTCCAAATAGCCCCGTACCTCGAGCCAGTAAAACAAACAAACAATTATAAAATGGAAAGGTCGCCAAATACAACATCAAAAAAGAACATTTTAAGAACTAATGATTAGTTTTCGAGACGCTCGAACTCAAGCTGTGAAGGCAACCCACTGTTATTGAAGTTACATGCACTCCCACCAGCAACGAACAGCGCCCAGACAAGGTTGACGTAACAGAAACTCCCCCGGAAAACCGCATAAAAAAACATAGAAGCATCCACGATCTACATGGTTTCTAACAATCGGACGTTCGAGAGGATTTAATACCTAATATTATCCAAAATAACAACATTTGGATAATCAGCTTTCCAACATTTGTGCTTCAACGTGCTGGGAAAAGTTGAAGCAAGATGTCGCGTATGCAACTTTAGGTGCATAGGAAGTCAACGAGCTGGTCAACGCGCTCATTGGACAGCCAACCGTGGGATCGCAAATTCGGCATAATTATTGCACATGCAAATGATTGAGGAATCAGCGGAACGAATAAAGTTCATTAGTTCCCAAGAAATGCGGAACCCGTGCGAAATACAGAATTAGGGCATTTCCACATATGCAACAACACCAAGCTGGAGACGCCGACGCCGACTGCGACGCTTCCTCGTTGGACTGAGGTTTCATTGACCACCCTTCGAGTTCTCTGGTCGCTGCATCTAGACCGGGTGACTCAATTCTGGCTTCTTTGCTGTTGGATTCGCGCGTTATATGGCACGCTTCTTCGTCTTGCAGCTTTCTGCCTGGCTCGCCAGCCAGCTTTCGGCATGAAACTCCTCCTTTTTTCAGTTTTGGCGTGTAATATTTTTATTTTTGGTATTTTGAATATTTTTGGCCTTGCGCTTAATTTGGCAATGTAAATTTGTATTACTTCGGCGTTTCGCGCAAGCACTTATATTCCTTTTTTTTAAATTAAATTTTTCCCTATATTTTAATATATGTTTTTATTATTTGATTTTATTTCAAATCGGTATTGGCACGATACATAGTGTAATTATTATGTGTGGCCGGTTAGAAATTTTGGGCTCTGGTATGAGCACGGCACGCCTGCCGTTTACCGCTGACAAAATGGAACTCCCCGCTGTACATTTGGTCAGCAACATAACAGGTGCCGAAATTCGGCACATGCATACATTGAACGGTGGTTACCGTTGTTGCCCATATGCACAGCTGCATTTTTGGTCAATGGCCTATATGAAGGCCAAGGGCATGCGATCCGCTCTCCTTCTAATTTCTTGAAGAGCCAATCGGGTGGCCAATCGCAATCGCCCTTTTTCGTTCCCCTTTCGGCGTCGTGGAACGCAAGCCGGGCGTTGCACTCTTCAGCTAATTGGGCCCCACAGTGTGCCCGACTTCACCCCCGATACTCTGACCATGTGACAAAAAGATATCAGCATGGCCGATAATGTCGAACGCAACCAAAACAAAATGGAATATCTACGCTGCCGATAGTGTCAAATGCAACATTCTTTTAAATTCGGCATAACGGTAATTTAAAATAAATATGTACGTAAAAAACAAAATACCCAGAACATAATTAAGTACATAATGTTATAACATCTTATTTCGATTCTAAAAATACCGTATACTTCTTATCATGCATTAATAGTGGTCAGCGTACTACGCATTGCTTGATACTAGCCACAAGGGTGACCATGTACTTTAATCTGTTAAGGCGATGTTGGGTGTATTTATGTTGTCGTCTCGTGACTTTCGTCAGCTGACATTTTACTTAGTGAAAAACCATACACTGATTTAGTAAAATTAAACGTACAAGAAGTATAATGGCTTTGCATTCGGCAATCAAAGGAAAATTAATCTCAGTTATAGGGGACGAGGTGAGCAGTTTAAGTTTTTAAAGCCCAATGCAGTAGTAACTACATATGCATATTTGTATGTACATATACTAAGATGTGTTGAATTATTCTTTCAGGACACTTGTGTGGGATTTCTTCTTGGTGGTGTTGGTGAAATCAATAAAAATCGCCATCCGAATTTTATGGTCGTTGATAAAAGTAAGCACAGGTAACACAATATTTTGTATCGTGACTCTACGTAGATACTTATTGATAGAACATTTTCAGGCACATACATAAGTAAGTTATTACCGTTATTGGTAACAAAAGTCCATCCAAAAATCCATATAAAACTGTTAATTGTTACAAATCTCAGTTAACATTATGTAACTTACAATATAATAATTTTATTACATTTTTGTATAACAACCTACAAACGTTTTGTCATGCCGCCCCATACCATCACTTCCCCGCCACCCTGTTTAACTGCACGGTTACGTTTCTTGTAGGAATTTAGTTTGCGCCACATAGTAGTCTTTCATCTGAGCGAAAAATATAAAATTTTCTTTCGTAAGAAAACAGTATTTCGACCTAGAAAACGGATGTCTGAGTCTTGTACTGCTTTGCAAAACGATTAATTCAATTGCCAGAGGAAACGAGTGATATACGTCTAGCAACGCGTGCGTTATAGTTCGTCTCATGCAGCACCCTTCTGACAGTTATTGGGTGAACTATACTTATACTATTTTTTTACCCTTGCAGAGGGTATTATAATTTTGCTCGAAATGTGTAACGCATAGAAGGGACATCTCCAACCCTATAAAGTATATACATATATTCTTGATCAGTATTAACAGCTGAGACGATATACGCATGTCCGCCTCTTTCTGTTGAGCGCAATACATATGTCGGAACCGGCTGGATCGGAACACTATATCACATAGCTGCCATAAGAACTATCGGTCGAAAAGTAGGTTCTTGTAGGAACAACTTTTTTGTTTATCAAGATATCTTGACCAAACTTGGCATTTATTAGATTTACAATTTTTCTCATATATGTATATGCAAAATCCTATTAACATCGGACCACTAAGTCGTATGGAAACTTTTTTGTTTTTCTAGATATCTCGACAAAACACGGCACTTATAAGTTTTACTATGCTCCCAACATTTATGTAATATAGCTGTCAATGTCGAAAATTAAGTTGTTCTATAGAAAACTTTTATGTTTTTCTAGATATCTTGACCAAACTCGGCATTTATAAGTTTCACTATGCTCTCTACATTTATGCAAAATCTTGTTTACATCGGATCTGAATATCATAAAGCCGCCATAGGAACCATCGGTCGAAAACGAGTTTCTTGAATGAAAAACTTTTTGTTTTTCAACATGTCATAAGCATGCATTAACTATTTTCCCTGTGCTTATTAGATACGGACAAAGCATTTTGAGTATTATGAAAAGCTTGGATCTGCAAAGGTTGGATCGGCGTGCCGAAGATAGCCCTTATTTTTCGTTAGATTTCTTTTTAGCATTTGAGGGCTTCACAATCCTTTAAACCGATTTATAATGCTGTGAATCGTGAAACAACCTCTTTCCATAACTACACCGATATAACCATAAGATTAACCTTGATTATGCAACCATTAAATTATTTTGCGTTAAGATTCAGAGGTTTATTTTTGCTTTGGACTCATATTTCACATTATTTATGTTTAGGGCACAAAATGCAATTAAAATTTAACAATTATCTATGATTTCAAATATCGGTAGATAGCAACACATGCTCTTGCTAATAGCGTTGTTACAATATGTGTAACAACCATAAAATAATACGAATTAAAACCAAAGTGTGCCAGTAAAATGTGTCTTTTATATTTAAATAATTCATTAAAGTTACTAACTCGCTGTAATTACAAAATGTTAACTGAGTTTTTTAAGAAATTAGTAGGGTAGAAAAATTATTTTAGATGCAAAATGGATGTAGAGTAGAAAATAATTGCCGTGCTTAAATTTATGTGTGTGCCTAAAGATGGTACATCAGTATAAAAAATGAAGCACTTGTTTCTTTTTTTTGTGTGTGAGGTCCTAACAGGGTAGCGAAATTATTCATTTTCTTGACATATCTGCGACATAGCTCCGCCCAGTACATTTTGCCGGCGGATTTATTTCGCTTTTTTTCTGGCGAAATTATGACGTTTGCAAATGACATAAATGCGCCGTTGATCAAGGCGGGATAATGTCGTTTTAAAGCAACATAGCTCCGCCGTTCTAAAAACGACATATCCGCGGAGATATGTCGTTTCAAAACGACATAATTCCGCCCTTGTCCACCTCGAGTTTATGTCGGTTTAAAACTATATAATTCCGCAGCTCTTAAAATGACATAGTTCCGGAGGAGTACGTATGTATGTATGTATTAGTAAATGCTCATATGCAAGTAATTCCGCTCACAGTTATTGTGTTTTAATTTTCAACTGAACATCTGCTGATTACAAATCGCGTAGTTGCGCTTTCTCATGCAACTGTCAAATTTAACCAAAATAACCACGACTTTTCGTAAATATATTATACTAGCGGGTATAACCCGGCCTTGCCCGTGGCACGTATGTTATAAAATCAATGTTTTCAAAAAGTTTTGAAAATGATTTTGAAACTGATCGGACGGGAATCAAACAACTTATATGCAAATCGGACAAAACTTAATATTCACAAAAAAAAATCTTTGTGTCGCATTCCACCCGAATAAGTTTGGATTCTGCGAAAAGTGGGAAACGAATTTGAGTGCGAAACGACACCCACCAAATCTTTGACCTCCATTTCCACCAAGGAGGAACGGATTTTTTGAAAAGTGTGAAACACCCCTCAAATGAATTTGAACAAAGATCTTTGAAAATAAGCTTAGGGCCGATCGGATCGTAAACAAAAAACTTTTATACAACCGTTTTCCGCCAATTTACCACTGCTGCGGGTGGAATTTAGCAAATCGCCGAAATACGTATTCACTAAGTTCTTATGTAGAGCTTTGAAAATAAGTTTGAAGCAAATCGGACACAACTTAAAACTTCTTCCAAAAAATCTTTAAATCGCATTCCCCCCGAAGAAGTTTGAATTCTGCGAAAAGTGTGAAACATGTCTCAAATGATTTTTCTTATAGATCTCTGGAAATGAATTTGAGCGCGAAACGTCACCCACCTCGACCTCTATTTCCACCAAGGAGGAATGGATTTTCCTGAAAGTGTGAAACACCCCTAAAATGAATTTGAACAAAGATCTTTGAAAATAAGTTTGAGGCCGATCGGATGGTAAACAAAAAAGTTACATACAACAATTTTTCGCGATTTTTCCACACTTGCGGGTGGAATTTCCTGAAACCCCGTCTTAACGTGCACCTACATCACATAAGGTAACTACAGTGAAAATTTTAGCTTCCTAGTTCTTACGGTTTGGGCTGTGCGTTGATCACCAATCAGTCAGTCAGTCAGGACAAACAGTTTTATATACAGAGATTTAAAAATCCTTTTTTTTATAGGCCGTTTGCCATTACCAGATCTGGGTGTAAAATTTTTTGTAAGTGTAAATAAAAGCATTGCGTATTGCCTCTTCGACTTCTTGTTACAGCTTGGACACTTAGGTTTAGTTTTTTTATTTATAGAACCATCTTTTGATTTATTGTGGGTAACAATTTGGTCCCAACAGGTACCTCAAATATTTGCATGATTGCATATGCTCAACAAATCGGACTGTGGGATTTTTAAGCATACATTCAATGGATTCAATTCAACAATTCAAGAATCGGACAGTTGACTTAAATTTGAAGCATTCGAGGAAAGCGTGGTTGTGGAAGATTTCATTTCCGACGACATTCCAGAAAAATTTGGTGATCACTGTCAAATAGGTCCGTGACAAAAAGCCCTGTATATCGATGTCCCCCATGTCAAAAACAACTATGGCGCCCATGATCTTTTGAGAGCAATCCTGATAACTCTGTCTCTCTTTTGCAATCGTTGCTGACCGTCGCTTCGCGCTCTGCAATAAGTATGAAATCAATCATTGTTATTGCACTCTTTTGGATTCTATTGTGTGTTAGCTTAGCACACACTCTAATTTTGGATATCGTCTTCAGCAGAGTCAGCATAGGTAGCGCGGAAACAATAACACCAACATAAAAAACTGCTGTCGATAGTGCTGTGCTTGCCAACTGGACAAGACAACAGCCCTGCGCGAAGTCGCACATAATAAAACTTGGTACAGCGCTTGTCGCTTGACCTCTTATCAGCAATTTCGTCGTTTGTTTTGGTTGTGCTAACAATTGTTTGCAAAGGCAAACTAATAGAACCTGTTGCAAGCGTTATGGTTGCTGGGCAATTGCAATACTTTTCATAAGAAAAGTATAATTTATCGCTTTGAAATGGATGAAAACTCAAATTCTGACTCGCAGCCAAGTACACAACGGCCTGCCACAGCCTAGTAGCAGCTCGGCAATAACAACACGCAGCACTACACATGCTACTAGTACTATCAAAGCCAAGTAGTGTATCCATCTACACTGTAGCAGCATCTGCTGCTGGTAGTGTCTGCTCTGCGCAAGAAAACCCAAAAAGCTGCTTAATTCAGATGCCACTCATGTCTGTTCAAAGGAAGCAGACAGGAAAATATAAGGCATTTAGAACCATTAAAAAAGCTAAACTAACCCCTATTAATAAAATATACTTAAAAAGATAATAATAATAATAATAATATGTGGTCGACCAGATGCAGCCACTACCTCTGACTCTATAGCTGCTGCACTTCGCAATATCCGATATGCAGTCCTAGCTAAGGAAGCTCACAACGCCATGGAACTGGATTCCTTATCCGATAGTGGAGAAAACAGCCTCTCAACCAGCGCAAATAGTCAATCTGACCGCACGAACCGACATAAGTCGTCTCCTTAACCTCCAGCTATCTGTGTGGCTCAAGTTAAAAAACCTCATGAGTAAGAGCGGGCACTCAACGCTGTTGTAACAGACAAGGAATACGACGTGCGTACATTCAAGTTCGGAGTCACGCGTATCTACTCTACAAATGCTCAAGCGTATCTATCAGTTGTTAGCACGTTAACTTAACTAAATTGTAAGTTTGGCACCACCAGCTGCGGGATGATAAATCTTATAGACTGGTACTAAGTGACATTCACATCAATGTCCCAAAAGATCTAATAGAGCGCACATTCTTTAATAAAGGATTCACAGTCCTTAAGAAAACCGGACTGGCTCCACATCCCGATCAACGGGGAGGACGATGAGCAAGTTTGATAGCTAGTTTCTAGTTTGCAGTCAGAGTGGAATAAAACAAATAAAGATTTTCGTAACTTGGCTCAGCATCTTATCTCCCTAAAATCCAATTGACCAACCCGCATTTAAAAATCGGATTGTGGAACGAACGAGGCTTAATGCTCGTACCAGAAACACACAAGCGTCATGGACTGAAAACTTGTTTGTCCGGCTATGAAATTTACCATGCTTATCACCCCAGTGGTAAGTGCAGTGCAGGTGGCGCCGCGATTATTGTCCGATCTTCTGTTCGGCATTTTCAGAATAAGCCCATATCGTGTCCTGTCCGCAGGCAACCCAACATTTTATTCGTACAACTCAGCTCACCCCTTCTGCTCTGGAGTTTTTCAAAACCAACGGGATTGCTTGGGATAGGCTCACAGCTCAATCACTATATGAACTCTCCTCGGATTACTTGCCCATACTGACAATAATGCATCACACACCTTGGTTTAGAGCTGACCTGGACAGAAAAAGAAACCTCAACATGAAGTTAAGCGTTTCGGAGGTCATTGAAGATGCAATCTCCGTGTTCATGGAAAACATAAGGCAAGCAGCAATTTGCACTTCGCCTAAGACGCTGCAACAACCGAATAAACGAAGGGCAGTGCAGCTGCCGACAACAGTTAGTGCTCTGCTTTGCTTAAAGAGGAGAGTTAGAAGGGAATATGCCAGAAAAAGTCCTTAATATGTACAAGCAGTCCCAAATTGATCGACTTTTTTACGCAGGAACAGATGCATCCACAAATTATTCACTCTGGAAACTGACAAGCCGCTTTAAGGGACAAATTATCCCGAAGGCTTCTATCAAGGATCCATCCATCAATCTTATTTCTGCTAGAGCGCTGCTCTTCATAGTCCTTTTGTTCAAACGCATTCTACGATTAGGACACTTTCCAAAGATCTGGAAGTCTGCACTGATCACGATGCTCCCTAAGCCAGAGAAGCAGCTCACAGACATTGACACATACAGACCAATCAGTCTCCTCCCTGTCCTTGGGAAGATGCTGGAAAGGGTTATCCTCAACCAAATCTTCCAGCCCACAATCCTGACACAGGCGATTCCAAAGAGTCAGTTTGGCTTTCGAAAACGTCACGGAACCCCGCAACAACTAAACCGAGTGATCAATTTTGCACTGGAAGCCATGGAGGAAAAAGAATATGTGATAGCAGTGTTCTTGGATATACAAAAACCCTTTTATAGTATGGCATCCTGGACTTCTCAGCAAATTAAAAATCCGCTTAACGCCACAATTGTTCCTGTTAGTGAGTAGCTTCTTAAGGATAGAACATTATGTGTAGTCATCGATGGTGAAAAGTCGACAAATCGACCCATATGCGTCGAAGTCCCAAAAGGCAGCGTCCTTGGTCCCACTCTCTACACAATTTGACATGCCATCAACCTGCTCGGTTACAGCAGTGGACAGGGAGGATGTCCTTATAGCCACGTATGCAGATGAAACTGCTGTGCTGACCAGGAGTCCTCTAATTGGCACTGCCACAGAGGCGTTACAGGAATACCTGTATGTAGCTTCGAAACATGAGCCTTGGGAGCAATAGCATCAATAGTAGGAAATGTGCAAGTGTCACATTTGCTACTAGGAGAGATTCCTGTCTAAGGGTAATTTTGCTCAGCTCTACTTTAAAACATGAACCCGCACACAAATACCTCGAAGTCATTTTGGAAAGAAATCACACGTTCAGACATTTCTCAATGGTTTAACAAAAAGTTCTGTCTAAGGCTACGAAGATGACTCGGCTGCTTTCTGCTAATAACAAGCTTTCTCTTACAAACAAAGTGAAGATATACAAAACAATACTGACTCCTATATGGACCTATGCGCTGCAAATGTACTGGATTGCCGCAAAATCCCACCTGAACAGAATAAAAGTCGCACAAAGTAAAATTCTTAAAAGGATATGTAATGCTCCTTGGTATATGCTTACTAGGGATATCGAGAGAGACCTAAGAGTTCCCAAAGTAGGAGGCGTAATCCGTCAGCATGCCAAAAGATACTTTGAGCGCCTTCGCTCCCATCCCAACCCACTAGCAAGGGTCCTTGCTTTTCCTGGAAAAACAAAAATAAGGTGCCCCATTTTAGGAGCCTGTCTCTCTAGGGAAAAAAGATAAGACTTTTTAAAGTCAATGGAAATATTTATATAATTCTTGAAATTAAATTAATATTATATTGAAGAAATAAAATAATTTAAAGACTTTATATAAATATTTGCATCAACTTAAAAAAAAAAACAGATTTTCTCGGAGCCAACATGCAACATGCATTCATATGTCAACACAAATTTGGGATAGGTCATGTTCAGCGCTAGAAAACTAATGAAATTTATTTTTTTACCAGCTAAAGCCATAGCAGTGAATAACAACACATATATACATATTTTGATGTAGTTACGCATTCATAATTCACTCATACAAACATAGGTGCTTGCACGCCATTGGCTGAAATAAGAAATTCTCTCGAGCATACACTGTCCAAAAACAAAAATGAAATCAATCTATGTGTGCTATTTTCTTAACATAGTTATTGCACAAGATGCGCTTTGTGAACAAATTATTTTATTTTCTAATTTTCCTATAAAATTTATCATTAGTGTCTAGGGTAATGTATCATGCAAAAGTACTATGCCTCTATCGTAAGTTTAAAACTTTTTCGCTCATTGTATTTCGAAAACGAGGCGACCCAAAGTACAATGCGTCGCAATCAAATGTATAGGCTTTACTCATCTTAGTGTTTATATTGTCATTGGTTCAGGGTATCCCCTAGTCGGGAAATCCCGACTAAAGCCTCTTATTTGTTGAGGGTTCTTTTGTTTTCCATATGTGCACGGATTTGGTTTTTGAATATTTACAATACCCTTTATTATTGTCATTTTAATCGCGGTACATCCCAATAACTTGCTATCGATAAAAATAACTAACTGTAAATCAAATAAACAAGTTAATTGGAATACCCACTAATTTAAGCCACAGTTTTAAAGCAGTTGTATTTTTGAACAAATACGAATATGCCTTAGCACAGAAAGATCTACTGTTGAAAATTTCATTGATATCGGTTAAGAAGCACTTATTATT